GGCTGGGTGCAGGGTTGGCCAGCCTCTATGGAAATGTTGTTTCTTAGGTTTTATTTTATTTATTTACTTATTTTTATAGTGCTAGGGATGGAACTCAGGCCTCACCCCTGCTAGGTAAGAGTTCTACCTCCATGTGTGGTGGAGAGGACAGGAATGTGAACTAGCTTGCCTGGTTTCCTCGTGTGTCCACGGGGCTGATCTCAGAGCCCCTGTCCTGAGGCCAGGGGGTAGTCACATAGAGTGCCCCAGCACGAGGACAAACTCGGGAGAAGCACCCACCCAGGAGTGTTAGATCCAGGTCTTGGGATGTTCTCTCCTGGATTCTCTCCCTGCCCCGCCCCCTGCATATTTGCCAATTGTGCAGCTGAGACTCTGGCACACGGGCTAAACACCCCCAGCCCCCAACACATGGCCCTGCCTCAGAAAGAGCTGCAACATTAGCTGGTGGCACAAAACTCCCACAAGTTTTTTCTTTCTTTTTAATCTTTATGTTGTTTATTTATTTTTATGTGGTGCTGAGGATCGAACTCAGTGCCTCACATGTGCAAGGCAAGCGCTCTGCCGCTGAGCCACAACCCCAGCCCCACAACTTTTCTTCATGGATAGTTTTGGGTGAAATGTTAATTTAGTTTGAGAATCCTTTGAATATAAAATACAAATAAAACCTACATCAGGGCTTGGGGATCTAGCTTGCAGACGTGGCCCTGTCTCCTAACCACTTTCATAGGTGGAAACTAGCTTTCGACCGGTCACCTGGAGAGAGGCCACTCAGCGCAGTGAAAGTGCTCTTGGATGTCCTTGACAGCCAGCCCTTCCCATGACTTGTTGGGTGGCTTTGGACAAATCTCACCTCCAGGAGGCTCCTTTCCTCCTCCCAATTCTGTGAGCATTTTGAAAGGACACACGCAGAAAGGGCCATTTCTGAGCAGCCAGGGGCCTGGAGCCATGGTTCTACCCAGTCTGAGGGCCTGGGAGATGAAGACTCCGCTTAGAACACACAGTGAGAGGAGAAATGCTCCTAGAGGAGGGATAAGTGCAGGCCTTAAGAAACAGCAGGGTCTCATTTGACTCTCGTGTACTGTGTAGCAAATCAGGAACAAGGCTGAAAGGGTCATGATTGATTTCCCATTTATTTATTTACTTAGTACTGAGGTGTGCACCCAGAGCCTCATACATGCCCAGCAAATGCTCTACCACTGAGGTACATCCCCAGCCCTTTGGACTTACAGTTTTTGAGACAGGGTCTCACTAAGTGGCCCAAGCTGGGCTTGAATTTGCCATCCTCCTGCCTCAGCTTCCTGAGCATCTGGGATAACAGGCGATTGCCACTGTGGCTGGTGACGCCTCACCAGTTTGTTAGTCTGGCTTATTTTCTGTTTTAAGTGACTGTCAAGTCTTCCATCTTTTAACAAATAGGTATGAAGCAAATACTGCGTTACAACAGTGAGCTAGACAGGTGAGGTCTAGCTGTTCTACCTGTTCTCCAGGTTCAGGCACCCTAAAGAATGGGTACCTGCAATGTCCTGCTGCAGCACATGGTATCTTCCTTGCTGCACAGGCGGGAGAGTAGAAGCCTTGAAGTGCATGCCTAACTGGGAGGTCTTTGCAATTAGCTTAAAAACGCTCACACTTGCACCTGCTTCCTGCCTTTGTCTAAGGTGTATGCGCTCCCAACCTTGGTCAGGCTCAGCTCACTGAGCCCAGGGTATCTGTCTGTCCTGTGGCAAAGCTTGTGCAGCTGGAACAGCAGCGCAGATGATCAATGACAGCCTCTGCGTCTTTGGGGCAGGAAGGCCTGAGTGTGGCACAGTGTGGTACGTTGCCAGATGACAAACTGAATCCACCGCGCATGGCAGGGCTAATTAGCTGCAGAGGGGGCTTTGTTGATGTTTATTCAGAATGTGGCCATGACAACCAGGTAGCAAATCCTTGGCCGGATTTGAGCTTGGAGGCTCTCTTGCCATCGGCCCTGGCTGCTTTTGGAACAGGGCCACTGCTGGGCACACACAGGCACACCCCAGATTACTTTCCATGTGGGGTGTAGTGAGACTCAGGAAGAGCAGCAGATTGGGAGGAAACCGGACCAGGGACAGAGCGCAGTAAGGCAGATGTGTGCACAGAAACACACCTGTTCTGGGGCGAGCATGGCCGTGAAGAGCTAATCAAGGTAACTAGGCTGAAACTGGAGGATGCCTCTCAGAGAGCTGTCCCAGAAGTCAGCGCGCTGTCCAAGACACAGGGTGGAGAGCCTGGGAAGCGCTTTCAAGAAGTCATCTGTGGTTGCTGGAGCCTCAAAGTAGAAAGCAGGGGCCCTAAACAGAGGGGATTTACACCCCCACCGGATGCATTGGGTGACATCTGGAGACATTGTGGCATGCAGCAGGTAGAGGCAAGGATGTCTCCACACCCTGCGATACTACCACGGCCCCTCCCCCAACAGGACTTGGCAGCTCCAAAGCGTCATTAGTGCTGAGAGTCTGAGCCTGAGGTACAGCTCCGGAACTGTATTCTATGTGATGAGGGACTTGGGAGAGCTGTGTACCTCACCTGAGAAATGGCAATCACACCTCATGCGGCTCAACACACAACCCGACTAGGCTCATGCCCCAAATACACATGAAAATTATTTGATGACTTTGGAAAGGGCTCTTTCCTCAGCTGTTCTTAGTTTGAGACCTGTATGTTCCTAAATCACCTGGCACAGTGATCAGCAAGTAGTAGGCATTTAGTAAAAGAGAAAAGCAGCATGGTGGGGGCGACAGAGCCACTTCCCCTCTTGCCTCTTCCTCTGTGTCTAGGCTTCCCTTCTTGTTTAGACTTTCCATCAAGTTCTCTACAGGCGCAGGGTATTGATGTTAGCAGAGGCTGTCTTAGAAATACCCTTGATAGATCAGAGGTAGGACTAACCACACTCTGAGGACAGATACTACAGGTGACATAGGTCAAGCGACAGTCTACCAGCCCCATACAGAAGTCGGGCTTCCTGCCCTTGTGGGGCAGAAGCCAGGGTGGCAGCAACACCAGGGGCTCTGCTCACCGGGAGGCAGGCCTTCTCCAGGGCTGCACGAGCTGCTAACCCTCAACCTGCAGTCTCTGCACTTGGCAGGCGAGACAGTGGCCTGGTGGGGTCGGGGCCACAAAGCCAGGGCCCCACACTGAGGGCCCTCCTAATCTGTCCTCCTCCAGCCCTTGCGGTGCTGCCAGCCTGCAGAAGGAGCTGGGCTGGGTCCGAGGGCACCATCCACCCCTGAACCTGCCCCCCAACTGGGAAGGCCAGATGTCCTCCTGAGATGTGGTGAGGGGGAGCATAGTTCACCAAGTGCGTGCATGTGCCGGAACAGAGGGCAGACGCACCCGAAACTGAGAAGCCAAGAGGCAGAACAGAGTGGGCGGAAGCTTAGGCCGACAAGCCAACAGTAAGAGCTGCATTTTATGACGTCACGGTCCTTGGCCATCTCTGCACTGTAGTTTCCTGAGCATTTTCAGAGCTCGAGGGGGCCAGAGACCATCTGACTCAGCCCTCTGAAAGGATGAAGAAACAGGCTGGAGGGGGAGGGCCTGCAGGGGGAACCCCCCTTAAGGGTCGGCACTCTGCCCCACCTTCAGGCACTTCCTCTTTAACATATTGTTTCCCCTTAAGTCCTACAGAAAGTGAGAAAAGCCCCATCTTGGCACATGGAGAAACTGAGGCAGAAAGGAGGGCTGGCTCTAGGCTGCAGTGACTTGGAACTTCCACAGGGACCCTGCTAGGTGTCTCTCCTGGCCCTGCATGAAGGAGAGGGAAGAAGGGTAAAGCAGGCCAGCTTCCCACCTGCGGGCGGCACAAGGGCTGGCTGAGCTGCCTGCTTAGGCATCTTGTGTCCCTCACCTCTAAGGGACCACTTGGAGCTAAGGCTTGGCCCCCACTCTCCACATCTCCTCTGTTCTCTAGAAAGAGATGCGTCACATGGCCAGGCCTTGGTGCATAAGGAAGCACTTTCCAGAACTGTTTAAACCAGTCACCGGATGGGGAGGGGCATTGTGTACTGAGTGCCCTCGCCTAGCACTGTGGCAGAGGCCACCTGCCTTGGGGGGGACGAGGCCCCTGAGCAGAGCCCAACACATCACAGGAGGCTAAGGCTAGTCTTTGGCTGAAATGTAACTGGAGAAGTTCTGTAGGTGGAGGGGACCCATGACCATCTTAGGGGGAAGGGGCAAATTCTCCTGTCTTTAGAGTCCAGTTCCCCATCACTTGGGACCCTCTCTTTCCCTTCATTGGGCTGTAAACCAAAGCAAACTGAAGGGAGGCCCAGGCCAGGCCCTCTAAGAACCCATGGAGGGGCTGCAGCAGGCACCTGCCCAGGAGGCCTGGAGTACCAACCCGGCCTGCTGGGTTGGGGAGGGAAGGGACTTTTGCATGGGCGGGGTCCAAACTTGCCACTGACTGTGGGAGGCTGATGTCTTCCCCTCTGTTCCCTCAGAGCCCAGTGTAGGTCTAGGCCAGGAAGGCCACAGCAGCCAGTGTCCCAGCTGTCCCAGATGCACCTTCTACTTGTAGTTCTAAGGCTGGAGCAAGACTGGAACTGGGGACCCCTACTCAGAACCCTGTCCTTCCTGGTAGGAGCAACCAAAAAGCATCAGGAAGCCCAGAAAAACGAGAAACCAGGTGGCTGGAGCTGACCCAGAGACTTCTCCTACTAGGGCACAAAGACATGGCCCTTTCCCTACCCAGGGACATGGTAGGCAGGGCTGACCCAGTGGAGGGAGGGGCAGGTATATAAAGGGGAGCAGACACTAGTCGAGCTTCCTCTTCATGTAAACAAAGCAGCAGTGACCCCTCCTGGCCTGGCCACCACAGTCTGGAAGCACACGATGGTCTTAGAAGTCTTGGGACCCTTCCATCTGGATTCAGGCGCTGAGGCCAGGATGGAGGCTGCAGGTGGAGGCCGGTGAGGTTGGAGGTACAAACTGGTACAGGGTGGGGCCTGTGCTGTCCAGGGCACAGGGCAGGACAGGTGGGCATCCACAGGTCCTGCAGCTCAGGAAATCACGCAATTGCCAGACTTGGAAGGACTGGGACTTGTTTTACCTGCAGAGACAGGGGACACAGGCAGGGGGAGATGCTCAGCAGATTTGCCTCTAGCCCCTACTCTGTGGGCTGTCTGCCCCTCAGATGTGGAGGCTAGGGTGACTGCCCCCCTTCCAACTGCCTGTCTGGAAACCAGGTCAACACCACCCTGGAAAAGCAACACAAAGAGTCTTCGTGCCCTGCCAGCCTCCACAGGGTTCCCCTGCGTTGGGGATGTCAAGGGGTGGGGCCTGTCCTGAAAAGGGGGGGGGGGGGGGGGGGACTCCAGAGTCAACAACTACCACCAAAAGGCTTGCCCAGAGGTGGCTCACCAGGCTGACATGGGCAGTCCCGTGGGTGACCCTCTTCCAGGATCTGCTGCCGAGACAGTGGCCCCACTCCCAGAGCTGACCAGCAATGGGGCAGCGACTAGCCTTCTAAGCCAGTTTCAGCCTCATCTGTGGTCAGCCTGCTGGGCTGGATGAGGAAATGCTGCCCCTTGGGAGGGGCCCGCAGCACAGCCAGGGTGGCCAACGCGGAGGGCAATCCAAGGTGGAGGAAGGGGTATGCTGGTGCTAGCAGCTGCTCCTCCTCTCCCCCAGGCCTCAGTGCCCGTTTCCATGAGGCTGGCAGTGTCTGTGGCCAATTCCTGCCCTACGCAGGGAAGGAGGGGCTCTGCGAAGCCCACCGACACCTCTGGCCCTGAGAAGCCAGGCTGCTGGAGACAGGCCTTGTCCTCAGAGCACTGGCTGCTCCTTCTGTCTCCTGCTGTCCCTCCTACACAGCCAGGGTGGCCTCCCTGGCGCTCACACCACCTTCCACATCACTTCAGCTGTGAATTTAATTCAGGTGGCATCTGTCTCCTCTTCTGGGCTGTTAGCAAGAGACACTCAACAGAGCTGGACTAGGAGCCCTGGCTCCACAGCCCCTTCCTCCTGCCCCTCATAAGCCCTGCAAGGCCACTGCTCATGCCCAAGGTCTGCACCCAGTAGCCACCACCTTGTCTGGGCCAGAATGAACAAGCTGAGCCCCTCCTTGGTGTTGCCCAGGCTTGGACAAGTGGTGGCCCAGCGGGAGGTGGGAGGGAAGTCAGGTCACCTTCTTTGGTGCTGCTGAGGGCTATGTCTGGTGTGGCTCTGCTAGTCATTCAATTCTGCCACCCTGTAGTTCCTCACTGCTATGAGGGACACAGGGCCTCCACTCCCTCTCCTCAGTGGCTTGTTTTATTTGCTTGGCCTACTAAGCAGACGCCGAGTTCCTCCCCAGAGGTGGCCGCATTTGGAGGCAGGTAAGCAACAATCTCCAGACCCAGAAGCAGGGGGAGGACGCATCCTGGGGGCGGGGGTGGAGCCCTTGCTCACTCGTTCCTTCCTGGAGAAGGCTGTCTTCAGCAGGACCTGCTCCCCTGGGCTGGCAGGGCTGGATGCAAGCCTGGAGAGATCCCTTGTGCTGGGAATTCATTTCCATGCCTCTGACAGAGAGACTGGCTTGAGGGGAAATGCCTTGTGCTTGTCATTCCACCAGTGCTCATTTATCCGGAACCTGCCATGGGCAGGTGAATCGCATCCGCTGAGATCAATGGGGAAGAATGACACGAGGGAGCACCGTTTTTAACACAATATGTATGACATGGGTAAAGATGGCCCAAAGAAAGCTTATGAGAGAAAGTCAAGCTTCCAAGGGGAGGTAACACTGAAATGAGACTGAAAATAGGGGTATGGCATAGGAAGAGAGGGCCACCAAATGCAGAGGAGTGGCAGAAGGGAAGGGCTGGCAGGCAAGGTGGTGACGGGAGCAGGGACACTGCTGCGGAAGCTGCAGGAGCAATGGGCCTCGTTCTCCTGCAGCTCTCGGGGCTGTGCCTTCCCTTGATGGGGAAGATTCTTTCCCTGATGTCTGTGTGGTTCTTTCCTTCCACTCGAATTTCTGCTCAGATACTCCTTTGGTAAGAGGTCTTCCATGACCACTCTTTACAAAAGGGTCTTTCCCCAGATCCCCCAGCCTGACGTGCTCCATAAGGAGGGACTTTGTTCATTCTATTTCCTGCCACATAGGAACTTAGATAGAGCCTGGTGCAGAGCAGGCTCATTGATACATACCCAATAGAAGGCCCAGGGCAACGGCAGGCAGGAGGGGGTTACACCCATACTCTCAACCACAGGAACAAGGGCTGCCCTGGGTGAGGTTCACCGGCGCCTCATTCACCGGCGCCTCCCAAGATGGCACCCAAGAGAAACTGTAAAGGCAGAGGGTTTTGATGTCTGCCAGCGAGAATGAGCACCCCTGCCTCTTCTCTGGACCTGAGTGGGGTTTGTTGCTCTGAGAACACTCACTGTGTTGCCTTCACCCCTGCTGTGTGATCAGAACCCCTCCCCCCACACACACATACTGGTAATGGTGCTCAGAATCATCAGATCAGAGCACAGATACCATGCACCAGCTGGGGCCTGACCCACGTTCCTCAAGGGAGACCCTAAATTTTGAAACTCCACCTTGACCTGCAGCACTTGAGAAGACATAGCCTGGAACAGGTCCCTATGAAATTCTGAGCCCAGGAAGCATCTCCCCAAGAGTCCATTCCTGACAGGGACCCAGATTTCCAGGAGAGATCTGAGATCTCCAGGGTCCTAAACCCTGTGAACATGAACTGGGGAGGGGGGAGCGGGTAGGAGAGTTCTGGAAAGGCATGGCCACTTCAAAGGACCCTGGGAGGAAAAGTGTTGAGAGCCACAGTTTAGTTGGAACGACGCCTGGCATTTTGCTAGAGGGAATGGTTGAAAGGTGACCCTGCTCCTGGAATAGGGCGGCTCCGGGATTAGGCGGATCCTGCTGCCTGGGCGCCCACTACTTTGGAGTTCCCGAGAATTGGCGCACGGAGCCTGGTGGAGGGACTGTATTCCTGGGAAGTGTGTGCAGAGTGCCGGTGAGAGTTCGGGAATAAAGATTGCTGTTTGAACCTACAAGGCTTTGTGGCGGCTCGGTTATTTGTGCCCAGGCAGACTGCGGCAGAAAAGTCCCTGCACTCACCTTCCTCTCAGCTGGTAGGACCCAGCAGGAAGGGTTCAGTCTACACTGAGGCCTGCGGCTCATCCAAACAGTCTAAAGATGTAGGGGAGGTGCCAGCCCTGGCCTCCAAGAGACAGCCACAGCTGCTTTGCAGAAGGCCCTGCGAGGTGCAGGCCGTGCTGCCCTTTCCTTACTGCCTGACCCTGGACACAAGGACTCCCTCCCTAAAGCTCAGGAGTCTTGATCACAAGATACCTTCAGCAGGTTGCTTGTAAAGACTACCCCAGTTCTGTGTGGAAGCACCTCACACTGCGTTTCTCTTAACTTTCTTAAACAGGAGTGGCCAGTGGTCTTGTCCAGCTCTCCCCCTGGTGGAGCTACTGGGGTTTCGGGTACAGCACCTGGAACCTCGTGCCCTAGCCTGGCGGCTCCCTGCAGGCACAGCCTCTGAATATCTGTGTCGCTGTGTCATCTGCTGGTCTGAGGACCCTCTTCATTGAAGAACTAAAGGGGAAAATTGGGGTTCTTGTTTAAAATGTGGATTCCTGAGCCCACCCCAGATGCTACTAACACCCTGGATATTGTTCCCTGAGGCTGGGGATCTCTGCCCCAGACAGCCTGTCCTGAACTCCTGGGTGGCAGGCTGGAGGGAAGGGGTGAGCTCAGCCTGCGCTGGGACAAGGTCCAATCAAGGGAAAAGGCAAAAGGAAAAGATGCCCAGCTTCCGCCACTAGAGGGCGCTGTGAGCCTTCGAATCACCAGGCTCTCCCCTGCCCCCGCCCCCCACCCCCAATCCCAGAGGAAGCGATTTCCCTGAGGTTCTCCCAAGGGCCACACCTGGGTTTGCAAAAATTTGCATGCTGTTTGACAACTATATACTTCTTATCAAGCAATTTTACAGGCTGTCAGCTCTTTGCTTTTTCTTTCTCTTTCACCCACCCTGTCATCAACCCACATTCTCCCTTGACAAAAGGGCACAGAGACAGGACAGAGTGAATCAGCTCAAAGGGACCTCGGAAAACCTCCCTGGATCACCCCCTCATCTTCTAGAAGAGGAGACAGCCCCAGGAAACAGAGGGACAAGTTCAGGGAATTAGGGGGTGGGTCGGCAGAGAGCTCTACCATGGCTGTCCTGATGTCCCCAGTGTCCCTGTGGGAAGGGGATTCATTCCCTGGATTGGGGCCCTAACAGAGAATCTGAAGTGATTTCCTCCTGACCACAGCTCTGGATATAGGAGGATTACTAGTTTCCACCTTAGGCCTGGGCTTTAGGGGCCTGTCCTTCTCATGTCCAGCTGTCCTGCAGCTGCCCCACCCCCCGAGGGTGGAGGGGAGGCACTGAGGACATTCTGACTACATCAGTGTCTGGGAGGCGGGGGCTGCTAAGTGGGACCTTCAGGAGGAGCCCCTGCTTCTCATCTCCGCCTTTGAGGAAGAAAGGAGCAGGAGGAGAGGGCTCACAAAGGAACTTGAATTTCAGGGCCTCGGGGATGGGATGCCCATCCAGGCGGGTGATGGTGAGCTGCATGCAGCCCCATGTTTCCTCCTGAGGATGGAAGGGGGGGCAGCTCAAGCTCCCTCAGACCTTCCTGACTGTGCGTACCAGCCTCTCTCGCCCTCGCCCTCGCCCTCGCCCCTCTCTCTCTGCCTGGATGTCAGGCATCTGGAGAGGGCCTCCCGAGGGTGCAGGCCCGGTCTGCTTGGCTGACTCCAGGGCACTGTGTGCAAATGCTCAGAGACAGGCAGCAGTGGCAGCATCTGCCCAAGTCGTCCAAGCAGGGGAACCCCAGGCTGAGTGACACACAGGAGGCGGCAGGAAGGGACAAGACAATGGGCCTTGCGTTTCTATGGAAACAGCACCTCAGGGTGAGGGGCCGAGGGAAGAGAAAGCTTCCACCTCACTTCCAGTCAGGACTTGGGAAACAGCCCTTTGTGGTTGGGCTCACCCCTCCCCTTCCCAGCCAGGTGTTCACCATGGCAACCCTCCTTCCAACCAGAGGGACAGAGCTGCAGCAGCATCTGGTGTTGGGGGAGCCAGAGAGCCCAGGGGAATGGGAATGGGGAATAGTTTCCCCACCCCTGAGAGGACAGGGCCTGGGCCCAGGCCTGGCTTTGACTCCCGGCCCACGACCACTTCCTATGCCTTGGGACCACTTATGCACCTCTCCCAACTTCCACCTGCCACCTCTGGCTCAAAGGGTTATCTGGAGGGAGAAGGGAGAGTGTATCCGCACAGAGCTCGGCCTACAACTGCTTAGGAAATGCTTCCAAGCCCAACAGGGCAGGGGAAGGTCCTCAGGCTCCCGCTGTGCCCACATCAGAGATACCCAGGCCTGCTCAACTTCAAGAAGCAAAGGAAGCCAAGTGCGATGGCACAGGCCTGTGATCCCAGCAGCTCTGGAGGCTGAGGCAGGAGGATCATGAGTTCAAAGCCAGCCTCAGCAACTTAGTGAGGCCCTAACAATTTAGAGAGCGCCTGTCTCTAAATAAATTGTAAAAATGGCCTGGGGATGTGGCTCAGTGGTGAAGTGCCCCTGTGTTCAATCCCCAGTACAAAAAAAAAAAAAAAAGCAGCAAACATATCCCACAAGCACAGCCTGGGTGTGTCAGACTTGGCAGCAGGACAGGACCTCAGGCCTGCCTTGCCATACCCGGCCTGTGAAGGGGCCTAGTTCTCATCACCGTAACCCCCCACCGCCCCAGTCACCGAGGGAGGAATCACAACACAGGAGTTCTTCTGCCCAGGCATGCTCAGGTGACTAAGGCACCACAGCAGCCCGGCTGTCATACTCTCCTAAGAGGCCACATGGGAGACTGCTCCACATGTTTCTTGTAAAATGGGGCTCACAGGACCTTCCCTGCCCTGTTGGGCCTGGAAACACTTCAAACATTTCCTAAGCAGCTACAGACCAGGCTATGAGGGTATCCTAGAGAGGCGGCCAGAAAGAAGCCACCAGCGCCACCGTCAATCCCTCATAGAGGACAAACCCACTCATCAAATAGACACAGAGAAAACCAAGGCAAACTGTTTACAGCAGAAACAGGAAGCCAGGCCAGGAGCCGGGAGGGCACAGGTGAGGGTCGGGTATTTGGCCAGGTTGGATCCCGATGACAGGGGTCCAGCAAGGACAAGGTTAGCCAGAAAGAGCCCTGGAGTCAGCTCCTTCGCCTGCCCCTGCTGGGCTGCAGCTCCCCCTTCTCTGAGGAGAGCCTGGCCGCACGTCTCTCATTCGATTGACTTACTCTGAGGAAGTAATGCCACCTAGCTGGGCGACTCCATGCCCACCACCCTAGTGAGCACTGGGTAGGACCCGTCCTACTCCCGCCTCTCAAAGAAGAGGAACCTGAACTCAGAACAGCAACACTGTGCCCAGGGACACCCGGTGGGTAAAGGCCAGAGGAGAATGGAAACCGAGGCACCTCGGAGCCCAGACCTCCCGCTGGCCCGTGCCTGGGAGCAGCCCCTCTGCAGACAGGAGGCCGTGCTCCTCAGGAGGGCTATGCCAGGCCCCAGAAGAGGGCTCACCTGAGATGTTGGTGCTGGAGTCCTCAGTGGGCCTCTTCCCCTTCAGAAACTCCACGTCGGGGCAGGCCTCGGGGGAGAGCGAGCCGGCCCTGCTGCTGGGTGCTGCAGGCCTCTTTGCCCGGCGGCTGAACAACCTGCTGCCCATGAAACGCTTGCCCTCTGTGGCCAGTATGGGGCCCCCGTTGGCAGCATCTCCCTTGCCATTTTGGGTGACTGCCTCTCGGGATTTTAGCCTCGGGTGGCTCAGATCTGTCAAGGGGATGGGATCCACGGGGGGCCACACCTGCTCTATAGTAACCAGGTCATTCAGGAAGCTCTCCAGGCGCCGGGCTGCCTCGCCACCTCCGCTGCCCTCCTCCTGCCCCTCCGGGCTGCCATCAGCCTCCCGCTGTTGCCGGGCAGCCCAGCGCATCATCTCCCCCGGTGGGTGGCGGCTGCCTGCCACCAAGGCATACTTGGGGTTGATAAGCTTGCGTGCCACAGTGGAGGAGCGGTCGAGGCCAAGTCTACCAGCGCCTCCTGCCAGGCCCAGCTGCTGGAACAAGTTCACTTCCTCCGAGATGGCGTATAGCTCCCGGAACTCCACGTCGAAGGGCTCTGTGTACTGCCCTGTCAGGAGGAGGAGATGGTTTCTGTCCACGTAGGAGGAACTCCAGGTGAATCTGGGAAGATGGAGACAAGAAAGCAGACACATGTGCCCAGGTCTCTCCCTTGCCCTCCCTCCCTGCGGCCTCCTCCACCCCTCACTGCCGTGCCGTGTGTTCTGCACCCTGCAGGACAGGGCACAAGCCAGCCTTCCTGCTGGACTTCTCTCTCCACCAGCCCAGATCCTCCCTCTCCCCAGGTCTAGGTCTCAGATGCAGAGAGCAGGCAGCAGATGCAGGGAACGGTGAGAAGTCAGGCCTGAATCCAAACCTAGTTTCCAGTCTTGTGTGACTTGTAAAATGGGACTCACGGGACCCAACGTACCAAATGTCACAGCACAATCACATAACTCAGAGTGGTTGTGAGACTCAAAGGAAATACCTTCTTTAAAACATTTAGCTCAGCACAAACACACGCTTAATAAATGATAACTGAGACGCCACTGTTGTTGAAATTGTCCCATTCCTTATGGGTTCTCTTCTGAAATTATACAGCACTCAATGTCTGTAAAGCCCCATCCTTTAACCTCAAAAGAGGACTGAGACCATTTATTAATTGTTTCATGTGCCCAGGTCTCTTCTCACTTAGGTTTTAATTTACTTGGAGGACAGAGACACACACAGAGACTCTCATGTTCCTGGTAATTTACTCTTAAATTAAAATCCTGGGAGCACCTGTCCGTGCCGTGCCCTCACACACCCCCTCCAGAGCTGGTCCCATTCTACTTCTTGCTTGTCCCACTTGTCAACTAGCAACAGGTCACCGAGGACCATGAAAAATAGCCAGTGCTTAATGTCCAGCAAGAGTCGACACTCTTTTTTGGAATAATCCATCAGCCAGAAAGTTTGAGGGAAGGACTGGGCAGGAGGCGGTTTGCCATTGGGGCAGATGACACCTCCTGAAACTCAGGACTGTGCAGGCTCCGGCCGAGCACCTTCCTAACAGTCCCCATGGCCTCCTGGGCCCTCTCTGACCAGGCCCAACTCACTTGTAGGATCCAGTGGCTACTTTGTCACCATCTACCATCAGGAACCTTGATGACAGGGTTCCTTTAATCTTCCCCATGGGCATGTAGAAGCCAACGCCTGTCACAGAGCGGATGCGGATGTTCTGTTGGGAAGAGGAGAAAGGCACCATCACCCTCTGGGGGAGACTGGGAGGCTCTGGGCCAGGGCTTTGCCTGGGCAGAGGAAGCCTTGCATCCACAGCCCCTCCAGCTTCACCAGGTCAGGTCCTGTGTTTCCTGATGTGTAGGACTCCATTTGAACAGCAAGAGGAAGTCACCAGATGCTGTTGCAGGCATGGGCAAGTTGCTGTCTGCTCCCAAAGTTCCCCAGAAGAGAATCGCAGCCCTAATTTTGACCTTGACAGTAAAGTCAGTGGTTCTGCCAGCAGAGCACCCCAGGAACGGGCCAGAACTGCCTTCTTCAATCTCGGCAGCCATGGGATAAAACTTGAGCTGGCTCATGACTTAGCAGTTCATGAGCCAAGGCTCTTGACAGGAGAAGGGTCGAGATCCTGAGCTTCATCTGAGGGCCTGGGCTGTGGTGGTGGAAGCGGAGGCAGGCAGGGGAGTCTCTGTCTCACCTCCTGCCGCTGCCCTCCACCCCCCAGTGGTTCCACTCACCCGAATACGGAAGTCAGCCAGCTCCAGGCTCCTGCACATCTCCAGGAAATGCTTCACTCCCGCCTCGTCCAGGATGATATAAACTGGGACCCGGCGCTTGGAGGCAGCATCCACAATGTCTTGGAAAATATCCCCATCGGTGAAGAGGTCCATGACCACAGCAATGACCTGTACGGGGAAGGGCCCTGCTGAGGCATGTTGTGACCACATATCTTTGGAGACACACCTGCCCAGAGAGGACCCGCTTCCCCGTGGCAACTGGTGGCTAAGAGTAAACACCCCTCCTGTACCACTCTGGATTCTTCAGGTCCCTGTCCATCTCTGACTATATCTGAGCCCAGGAGAGGGGCCCCAGGGTACAGGCCCTGATGCACAGATTTCATCCTGGACAAAAATCCCACCTCCCCCTAATCTTGGGAACTTCTAGCCCATCCTCAGAGGCCTCGTCAGGGTAGAGCCAGGATGCTGAGAGAAGTTGCTCCTTCTGCCCCAAGGAAATAAGCAGGGGTAGGGAGCTGCCATCATCAAGGTGAGGTGGGAGGGATGGGCTGGTCTCCATCAGCCACAGATCTGCTTGAACATTGCCTTCTCTGCAGGTCTGGGCATCCGACCTCTCTGCAGCTGTGCAGAGCCACGTGCGCTCTCAAGCACCAATGGGGCAATGCACCAGTTGCTTTGGATGCCCAGGCATCTGGTGCCCAGCCCTTCCCACCCCATCCTCAGATGGGGGTCACCACTCAGAGCCCTTCACCTGCAAGAGCCAGTCCTGAGAGACCTCATGCAGCCTGGAGCAGACCCAGCCTCCTGACCCCAGCTTCCATCTCCCTGCACAAACCTCTCTCGGCTCCACCTGAAAGTGTTTCTAGTTGGCCTCAAACACTGTGCATGTGACACAAGAAAGGGCCAGCTTTGGGTCAGATCTGGCTTTAAACATGGACCTGCCACCATCTTTACACTCGTGCCTTCTGACATCTCCCTGCCTCCCACCTTCAAAACGGTGTTGCCCAGGGCTCTCCACAGCACTTGCACTAGCCAGTCAATCATTAACACGGGTATCAGTGGTTCTGGGCTCCAAAGGCAGAGTGAGGGTTTGAGACAGATAAGGTACAATCACTGTGGAGTAATCCAGGGGGAGGGTCAGCAGCTGCACGAACTAATGAAGGCATGAGGTAAAGGGGAGAAGTGTCTGAAAGGCTGTAGATGGGACACCATGAGGAGGCAGAACGAGACTGTGTCTAGCCAGGGGAGAACAAGAAAAACTCCACGACGAAAAACGGGGTGCCTCCAGGTGCCCTGAGAATGAGCAAGGAAGAAAATAGTAGAGGAGGTGGCTGGGTCACCGTGCCCAAGTTCACCCTGCACACCGGCCCCGGGTGTTAATGATTGACTGGCTAGTGCAAGTGCTACAGAGAGCCCATGCGACACTGGGCTGAAGTGGGGGGCGGGGAGATGTCAGAGGCAGAGGTTATTGAGAGCACGTGCGTGAAGATGGTGGCAGGTCTGTGTTTAAAGCCAGAGCACTCTGTTTGAGGAAGGGACAACCGTGCTGCTGTCCCCATCTACAGCCAGTCGGCACATGGCCTTGCTGGGGTCTAGGAGGTAGCATTGCAGGCATAGAGAAGAGCATCCACATAGGCACTTTGGTAGTCAATCTTATGTGTTTACTTGACTGAGCCACAGGGTCCACACAGTTGGTCAAAGGGTCTTCTGAACATTTCTATGAATATATGATTTGGATGAGAATAGCACTAAAACTGCAGGCTTCCAGTAAAGCAGATTCCCCTCTATAATGTGGGTGGGCCTCTTCTAATCGGTTGAAGGACTTCATAAAACAGACTGACCTCCCCTGGGCAAGGAGGAATTCCACCAGCAGATGGCCTTTGAACCAGGACAGCGACTCTTCCCTGGGTCTCTGGCTGCCCCCTGAGATTCTGGACTTGCATCTTCCCAATCCCAAAAGCCAATTCTTTAACAAGCAACCCCCCACCCCCATTCTTTCTCATGCATGCACACACACACACCTGGTTCTGTTCCTCTGGAGAACCCTACCTATTATAGTCACCGAGGACAGGAATCAGCATGTGCTAAATACTTTCCAGTGCACATTGTGCTAAAGTACTCAGGAATACCTAAGTATTTCAAGTAATTTGAGTCTCACCATTACAAGGAAGTGTCGTTATTCCCATTTCACAGTGAGGAAGTAAACTGGGGGCGGGGGGAGCAAATAATGTGCCCAAGGTCCTAGAGCTCACATGTGACAGAGCAAGACTCTAGGTCCACTTCACTCCAGAGTCTTCATCTCATGGCTCTGGGGGGTGAGGACTGCGGGAGGTGCTAGACAATCAAATCAAAGACTCCTCTTGGAAAAGACTAAGTAAGGGAGATAAGAAACATCTACCAAGACTGGCAAAAAGACAGCAGATGCAAATGAAAGACTGAATGAAGAAAGACAGAATTCCAGACACAATCATTCAGAAACAGTAAGAGCATTAAAAGGAATATTAAGACCAATTATAATGATTTCAAAACACAAATGACATGAATAATGCACTAAAGAAAGAACTAAGCAAATAAATCACAATCAATAAAGGTTTATCCTAGGAACGTAAGGATGATTCAACTTTGGAAAATATATCACTTTAGTTTATAACCCGGAATCAAAAGGAGGAAACTATATACACTTTTTTTTTAAAGAATTAGTTTTTTTTTTTTTAAATACTCTTTTAGTTGTCATTTTATTTATTTATATGCAGTGCTGAGAATCAAACCCAGTGCCTCACACATGTGTGGCAAGTGCTCTGCCACTGAGCCATGACCCCAGCCCTCACTTTTTATTTTGAGACAGGGTTTTGCTAAGTTGCTGAGAGTCTCACTAAATTGCTGAGTTTCGCCTTGAACTTGTGATCCTCCGGCCTCCTGAGTCACTGGGATTAAAGACATGCACCACCCCGCCCAGCTTTTGATAATTTTTAAAAAGTACCTGAGATAAAGCTAGATCCCCAGTTGAGATTTAATTTCTCAGAAAGGGGTGGGGATATAGCTCTGAGGTGCAGTACTTGCTCTGCATGTGTAAGCCTCTGGGTTTGAACCCCGTTACTACAAATAGATTAGATTAGATTCTCAGAAAGCTTAGAAGGACCCTTCCTTTACCCAAAATCCTCATGAAACATTTTACTTAACAGAGAAACGGAAGATGTATTCCCTTTAAGTTTTAGGCAAGCCAAGGATATTTACTGTATTAAATACCATGTCTCAAAAATAAAAATAAAATATTTTTTTAAATATTTACAATACTTTTACTGTATTGTTCAACTTAGTATTAGAAGGCCTAACTAATGTAATAAAACAAGAAAAAGAAATAAGAGGTGAAGATTAAAGAAGACAAAATTACCAGTATTTAGAAATTAAACCATTTTTATAGAAAACCCAATAGAGTCAAGAGAAAACTATTAGGATTAATAAGAAAACTAAGTAAGATTGTCAGATACAGGAAAAACTTTCAAAATCCAGTAGCCTTCTTCTACTCCAACACTAATTAACTAAGATAAGATCCACTCACAGCTACTATTTAAGCACGGGGTGTCTAGGAATTGTTACTTTCATGGAGAAATTTTGAAAATCCTATTAAAAGACTCTTAAAAATATGTGACTAAATGAAGAGAAAAATCATGAATGGATAATACAATTTAAAATCTTTTTTATTATATATTTTTAGTTGTCAATGGACCTTTTTTTAAAATTTATTTATATACAGTGCTGACAATTGAACTCAGGGCCTCACATATACTTGGCAAGTGCTCAACCACTGAGCCACATCTCCAGCCCCATGATTTAACATCTTAAAAAACAAATTCTCTCCATATTAATAAAATTCAATCCAGCCAGGTGTGGTGGTGCATTCAATCCTAGTGACTCAGAGGCTGAGGCCAGCCTGAGCAATATAGCCAGGCCCTTAGCAACTGGGAGAAACCATGTCTCAAAAATAAAAATAAAAATAAAAATAAAAAGGGCTAATGCACCAATAAAAAAAGTGGAGAAAAACTAAAAATAAAAAGGGCTGGGAATGGGGCTCAGTGGTTAAGCACCCCTGGGTTCAATCCCTATATCAAAATAATAGTAAGTATCATTATTATTATAATCTAATCCAATTCCAATAAAAGTTCAATAAGTGTTTTTGAGGAATACAAATACTTTTAAGAAATAACAATAATATTCGTAAATAGGTATATCAATTTTGAAAAAGAAAAGCTAAAAGGAGACACTTGTCTACCAGAAAGTAAGAAATTCTATAGAGCCATAAGAATGAGGATTGGGGTGCTGAAGTTAGAAGGCACTGACAGTTGGCCAGAGGGAAGAAACGGCGAAACCAGAAATAAACACACAAGTGCATGTGGACATGCACATCAAAGTCACCTGTACACTTGCATAAAGTTTCATGTAGGACGGGGTAGAATCACAACTCAGTGGTGACAACATGCTGTTTAGTGGGTGCTATTGAGAGAATTGTCTTAAATAAAGGTGAATCTGGTCTTCACACCATAGACAAAGGTCAATTCAATTAGGCTAAATACCTATAGAACTATTAAGAGAACTGATGAAATGTAGAAAAATATCATCATGACACAGCATGAGAATTTCTGATGGTCCTCAGAGCACAAACCATAAGGCAAGTAAAATGAAATGCATGCATTTGAAAAATTCAGGATTTTTCTCTTCAAATAAAGATGCCATAGACAAAGGTCACTGATGAACAACAGGGTACGATGTATACCACCAACAGGAATCTGTGATGCACAGGGGATCCCCATAAACCAGCAAAAAAAAAAAAGGAAACTAATCAGAAAAGTGGCAAAGGCTATGAACAGGTGACTTCCCAGGAGGAGACACCTGAGGCGCGGAAAGGTGTATAAAGAGCAGATCTTGCTCTTCATCAGAAAAACTCCAAACACTCTGACGAGAGAGAGGGCGCTTCACAATGGTGAGACTAACTAAAAATTAGAAAGTTGGGTATTCCTACCTATGGGTATGTGGGGAAAGAGGAACCCCCACTCACTGATGGGGACATGGTTGTCTGGGGATCAGGCAGAACTTACTGGATTTAAGTAAGTACACAGCCACAAGCCAGGAAACCACTCTGGCCCACGTACCCGGAGGAATCTCTTGGAGCT